ATATTTACTGCAAAGATCTAATTAAAACAGAACGGTGCGTGAGGATTCACTTCCACTTAAGTTGTGACTATGGTTGATAATAATGTGCGATGATTTAACAGGATAACTGCTCCGGTGACTTCAAAGTGTAGGAGTACTTAGTAATTTTGGACTGATCAATGCAGGCCAGGGAAATACTCACAAAATTCATAAACAGAAGAGAATAAGAGCACACTGATCCCGATCAAACCTCACATTTTGATAAATAATTTGTCCTACAAGCTGTTGGACTAGTAGCAAATCTAAGTTTGCTCAGGAGTAAGAAAAAGTCTACAGTATAACAATGTTGTATAGGGGCCTGCTGAAAAGTTTAGAGCATCTTCTGACTGAGAATCAGCTTTTTATCGTTAATCAAATTGCTCTAAAAGTGATTCAATGATGCAGTGATGTCAGAGCAGTCCCTGATTAGTTAATTGGTATCAGCTGTGGGCCTGGCCTGAGGCTCACAGGTTACCACGACGATAGATGCACCGCAGGCTGAGGCAGCCAGAACGTCCAGAAAAAGAGCGATTTTTTGCCTCTGTGCTGATCTCACATTCGGGCTTATTCTGACAAAACAGTAAGGGGGGAGAAAGTAAGGAGTTCCTGAACACTTTGATATGATTTTGGTGTTTCTACAGTAAAAAGTTTGGACATACTTGTGAGTCCTTTCTGCCCCTCTCAGAAAATCTTTGTATTTGTGTCAATGAGGACCAACCAACACTACCTGTAAAATCTCCCACACAGTGCATTGGCCACCAGATTATCAGACCCCCTCGTATGTCTGACCTCCCATTCCATTTGCTCCTGTCTAACTACGGGACAAGGATCATCACTTTAATTTTACTTATTATGTTATTACTTAGAAGCAGCAGTACCTACATCAGTGTCATGTTGTAGGACATTGGTGCAGGAGGGGATGCCACCAAATAGAGCAAGGAAAGTTTCAACACTGGGATTTGACACTGGACAGAAATTCAGCATTGGAACACCTACCACAATGCTGACTATAAGAGACCGTTGTCAAACCATCCTCAGTTTCAGGGCCAATAAAAACCCTCCAAGCTGATATCACTGCATGGACAGCAGCTTCTGGTGCTCTTTTCTGCTCACCCTGACCAGCTTCTCTAGAATAATAGGATTTTAACATGCTAACATGACACAGTCTTGTCTTCCTCTTATGTTCTGGAATAGAGATGATATAGTTTGTATCAGACATCATCAGCATCCTCCGCTTTAAAGAGAAAGGGGACCAACAAACATATTATCAGCTCAGAGCCCAAAAGTCAGCAGTCCTGAAATTGTCCATGGCATGTCAAGCTTCCACATCTGTGAAGGCTCCATTAAACCTGAACAATATCTACAGGTTTAGGAGCAACATCTGCTTCCATCCAGACAAAGATTTTTTCAAGGAACACCTTCATGTTTCAGCGAGACAATGACAAACCACACTCTGACAACAGGGATTTACAACAGCATGGCTCTGTTGTAGAAGTGTCCTGCTGACAAAATGGGCTACCTGCAATCTGGTGCATCACGACACTGGACAAAAATACCTGGAAGTGTTGAGCAGCTGAAATCCTATATCAGACAAGAATGAACCAACATTTCACCTTCAGTTCTGAAGAAATGTGTCTCCCTGACTCCCAAATATCTTCAGAGTATTGTTAAAAAAAGGGGGGAGGAAATGCAGCACAACAGAAATCTTAAAAAATGAGCACATATTTTTCATAAAACACTAGTTTTCACTTATAGCATTTAAAAAAAATGTCTTTGCAGCATTTTTTTAATCTTACAGGCTTGAAATTATTTGCACACCGTCACATTCTGTTGAGGTGAACATTATATGCATACCCTTTCCATGGAATTAGAGAATAACTCTGCAGAATAGAAAAAAAAATCTAATAAAAGCAGTATTTTAAGAGCAACCACAGGGTGCAGGGTTCATGAGAGACCATGGTGGGCTAGAACTGATTTAAATTGGAGGGTTATACCAAGGCCTGCAATAAGTAGGCACAAAGGGACAATGAAAATTTAACTGCACATTATTCATTTATTACACTGATCTGGTCTGAGAGTGCAGGTTAATGTGAAACCCAGATGGAGGTTGGTATGTAAGTGTGTGTGATGGTGTAAGATTATGAGCAAGAGCAAGAGGATACTGATAATATCCTTCTCCTTAGTGGACACCGCTGCACCACACACCTTAAATCCCCCACCTTTAAGCGCTAGTAATAACCCAAGTCAATATGTTAGATTGCCCATGAAATCAAATTAGCACCCTTGAAAAGATGCCTCTAAATAATTAGTCTGAGCACTCCTCAAAATGAGACAGGTGCTGCCACACAGTATTCTCTCCCAGCGTGCCGTTGTACCACTGGAGCTCAACTCTTGTCTTTTCTCGCTCTCATATCTGCCTGATTGGGTCCCCAAAGATTCGACTAAAGGAGGAAGCGTGTGAATTACCCATGAGTTCTGTCAACACGTTAGCATTCATATTCCCGTAGCTTTGATGTGAAGTAAATCCGGCGATGATGCTTCTTCTTTGTCTCTCACATCCTTACTGAACGCTTGACTAGAATTGCCAACTTAGAACTCCATGAGGTTTTAAGCTTATAATTAAACAGACTAAAAATAAATCAGATGCCTCTGTATGGCCTAAAAGAGCAAATAAAACCATCAAAGAGAAGACTGGTTATCTCTATAGTCATTTATTTACGTCCATCACCTGTGGTAAGAGTGGGTGTCAGCAGAGTTGATACACTGCACACTGCCGAGGAGTCTTTTATAAACTTTTTCAACTCCAGAAATTCAGTGTTAGTTTCAAATCTAGAGGGTTGGTACTCTCTTGTCCGAAAACACTTTTAGGCCAGTAAGAAAACACTTCTTTTCTGGGTGACAATTGTTGCCTCTGTTGATAGAACAACTCGGAGACAATAAGAGGGTATCTCAAATCGTTCCTCTCTGGTTTTCACTCCCCTGCAGAGTGGACGCTATTTGAAGTGACCCTCACAGGGAATGAAGGGGATCGATTCAGATACAGTGTCAAGATTTCAAACAAACTCTCCTTATTTCTTCAAAAAATAGGAACCTAACGTTACCATGGTTTCGGATCATACAAATTTGGATATTTTAGCATCTCAATCTGAAATAATTTTCAGCACCAAATGTTTAAGAACATCTGGTGGAAGAGTTAATTTCAGCCCAGTCTTCCCCTTCAACAGCTGTCTTTATAGAGTACAAATAACATGCAGCGCCTTGGTTGTGTCATTATGCAATTAAAATCAGCGAGAGCTTAAAACCTACCTTGAAGACACTTCGATGAAGCTTTCCTGGTTTTCAAACTGGCATCCTTAAAGACAGGACAAGATCAGCAAAGACATGAAAAGTGCTGCTTTGTCCACAGGGGGGCGCCAAAATTAACACAAACTGAAAAATACTCTCAGGAGCTTCAACCATTGAGAGGAGCTGTACTGATCAGCTATCGACACTATGACCACTGACCAGCGCAGTGAAAATGGTGGTGATGATAGGCAGCAAGGGAGCACTTTCTCCTCCAAGAAGATTTACTGTATTAACAGGGAAAATGTGGTGATGTAAGTAATGTGACCCACAACTTCAAAAACACAGTTCTTGCAGGGGAGTGAAAGCAGTTGGAGCTCATATTGCTGAGATGTTAATGCTGGTTTTGATGGGAAAGTGTCATAAAACAGTGCACAGCAGACCTATACAAGATCCGGCAGGTGGTCATATAATTTTTGCCACTGTATGCTGCTTTTACAAATTGCATCTGTTTGACTTACTTACAAGAGCTTTAATGAGCTTTAAGAACAAAAAGAACAAAAACTCATTATTCCTAGCTCATTTAACAAGATGTTGTAGTAATTGGGAGTCAGGAGAAATGCATGGACTGAGGGATGTGGAAGATGGGCATAAGAAGGAGTAATTTTACTTCTTAGTTATAGATTATTGGTATATATATATATATATATATATATATATGTAAGGATTGAATTTTCTGAATCTACGTTTCATTTGCCCGATGTTCATTTGTCTGTGCTGTTACAAAAATGAGGATGTTTAAGTTTTGCTACGTCTTGGCCAAAATCAACACTGAAACCACTGTTACCAACATTTTTCAGCAAAAACAACTCTCATTAAAAACAATACTTTATATTCTAATCTCTAAAGATAATCTCCTGTCTTTCTGCCAGAGAGTGGAGAACGATCAATAGCAGAAACAATGAAGACTTAGAATCTCCATACCTGCTTTTTAATTTGTTTGTAAAGTTTGATTATTTTGAATTACTGCAATAATAATGTACATGTATTTGCATAAAATACACATATAAGTCCATCCCATGTTTCTAAGATTATCAAAAACGTTAAAAATATCCCTCAGAATTGTATTTGAAGAGATACAAATATGCAATTGATGTGCGATGAACTGCGGTGTAGCTATAGATAATCATACCAATAATCATGGTTGAAGATATCAGTGGTTTGACAGCCATGTTTTTTATCAATGAGAAACATTTTCATAAACTTCATGTCCTATTAACTCTGAGTATGAGTGTAAAATGATATAATGAACACAATCAAAATTGTTCCATCTCAGTTTTAAACCGTTGTTCCACATCCTCCTCGAGGAACTTGTGCTGAGGCTGTATTATTCTAGAGAGTCTGTTCTGTGCTGTGAAGTGGCTGCTTCTCTCCTCAAGATTGCAGGCATTGTGCTGTCCCAGATCCTGATCTCTCAGATCCAAGATGAGATTACCTCGGTGTTGTGAGAGTGGGCCAATGAGGGAAGAGAGAGAGAGAACCCACAGTACTCAGCTCCTCTGACGTGTGCAAGGACATCTGTTTCCCAGCTACTGTGATACCGCTATGTTTCAGTACATTTCTTATTCCAATTGTGCTGTTGCCTGCAGGCATAAAAGTGTGGTGCACTTTATGGTGCTAGTTAAGAAGACATCACAAGGTGCAAGCTGTATATTTTTTAATATTTGACAAGGTTTTTGTATTGATCTTGACATGCAGATTTTATTTCTGAAAGTATTTATTTTTAAACGTGATGTTTGCTAATAAAAATCTGACAGAAAAACATGCTGCTGTGTAATAATTGACAGTTTCCTCAGATAAAAGAAATAACTGGTGTAAAAATGTGCAATTATGCGTGCTATATGGCATCCTAGGGTGAATATATTCCCATAGCCTACAGGAATAAGCAGATTTGTTAACGGAGTTTGATTAGTTTGAAATATAAAGCTCTTCTTTTTAAAAAGCTCAAACGGATGTCTTGACAGTGATAAATTCATGTGTTTTAGCAAAATAATCTCTTAAAGTCAAACCCTGCCACATCAGATTACGGTGTTAGTTTTTTTTTCTTTCTTTTCTTTTGCATCGCACACCTTACTATCAGTCTAGTGCAGAGCCAGGGCTTTCTGCATGAGCCGGTTCGTCAGAGGGGATCCCGGCCTCACCGCATCACGCTCCAGCAGGAGACATCTGCAGGAATTGGGCACAACACAAGACAGTACAAAGAGATGAAGACAGATTAGGAGAGACAAGCTGAGAGGCTGACCTGATCAATAATGAAAAGCTAACATGCTGCTCAGACAGGGGATGTCTGTTACGTAACAAGGGGCCAACACTATCTGCATGCTGACGAACAGAAGCTGAGGAAGAGGAGTGGACAGCAGCCCCGAAAAACAAACTCTAAACATGATGAAATCCGCAGCTTCAAATAGTGCAACATCGTTCCTGTTTCTCCTCTAATCTCTCAGCAGATTTTAACATTAAACATAGATGGATCGTTGATGCGAAAAGCTGAATTTGAAAGAGACTGAAGCCTTGTGTTTGGCCTGGAGTCCCTGTTGTGCATTACCTTCCCAGTTTCTGATGGTGCTTATTCTCTGATTTCATGGCTGCATGGATAAGAAGTTGATTGAAGATGTCTCTCTGTAAACAACAGCGGGCAGAGCCATTAGTAAACATAAATCTGCTCCAAGCACACTGTATGGAGACTTTATAACCCTTTGTGATAGACTGTACATACAGGGCTTCACCTTGGGGAACAGTTTTCTAAACACAAAAAGAACAGCAAACACACAAGGTCCATCAGCATCCATCACGTTTCATTATTCATACGCGGCGGCTCTTGGCTCCACGCTTTCACATGTTCATGCACTGAGAGGCTTTCTTTCTAGGCAGACAGCTCTTCACCTCTGGCCTACTTTACAAACAACAGGGATTTTTGTTTCACTCAGGAAAAAAAGTTTGATCAATGACTTCAAAAAACAGAAAAGCCTCAAGGTTGTTCTCATTTCAGCCGTGAAAAAGAGAACGGCTGTTTTGTTTGGGCTTTGAGTTTGTTTCATTTTTCTTGTTTGTTATGACTTGACTTTGAATTAACCATTTCTGTAGGCCTGATCTCTGTTAATAGATGAAACATCATGTAGAATCTGTAGTTGGGGGTCATTATTTTAGTGGGATTTAGTGCTCTGATTCATGCTTGTAGTGGTTTTGTGGTTTAAGCAATATGATCAAGCATGTGTCTTTGGCTTCTGTTTTTGCAGGAAAGAGCCTGCGTGCAGAGTTAAAACATGCACAACACAATCCACCACAATGACAGTTTAAAAATGTGTTTTTACTTTAAGCAGAGATCTGCATCCAAGTCTAGCGAACAATCCTTTCCTGCAAAAGTCAACCACAAAAAAACAGGTTTATGTTTCAGGTTCATAATCTCATCTGTTCAGACCTACCAGAAACTCCTCTGAAAGAGATTTAATTCACTGAGAGGTGAACCTGTTTGTTTTGCGGACATGTGAGGCGAGGTGTATTTTGCTTTTCTGTCGGTGCAAACACGTGATCGCTCCTTAATTGGACTGTACACAGTGAAGCACGGAGAAGGACTGATCAATATTTATTTGACCAATGCAACTATGATGTGCTCCCCAGGCCATGCAATTCCAGTCATGGACCTCAAACATGTTATGCATTCTTCAGTTTCTTATCCCCATGAATAATCTACAATAAACATCTGCCTGGCATAACTCTGATGCAGCCCACCCCCCCACTTCAACTCACACAGGACTGACTGCTGTACAGAATGAGTCTGTCTGATTCATGTTTGACTGACTGTAAAATGTAAAAACATGTTTTTGACACAGCTGCTGTCACTGCTACTCCAGCTAATGCAAGACCAATGACAGAAGTGCTCTTAAACATTTTTAGCACACATACAGACCACTTCTGCGATCAGCAAATGTTCATTTGTAGTGTCTACAGCTAGAGTGTATCAAGAGTGGAGTGTGATGAAAATCCCATGGAGAACAAGGTGGAAACTTTACTATGTTACTAAGTTACTATGAGAAGATACACAAGATTGAATATAGCTTTACACACTGTCAGAATTATTTGTGACTTCTGAGTGAATCCATTTTGTTTATTAGAAATCTTTATGGAGGACCACATCCTTCCGTCTTCTCTTTCTGTTTCTTCCTCTTTCTGTACTTGTTAAAGCAGCTGTCAGAGGGCTTGACGCTTTGGTAAAAGCAGGAGAAAAGTTTTGTTTTAACTTCCTGTAAGGAACTTTTCACTGGATTTGCAAAAGAAAAATCTCTCGTTTCTGCTGATGTCGCCCTGTCACCTGCAACAGTGAATGAGCCCATCTGTGTGAAGATAAGCTATTTCCAAATAGTGAAAACAGGGAAAACGGGAGCCAGTGGTAATGTCAGTATCACAAACGATTCACAAAATGGTTTACAGCACTCAGACCAGAGACGACGCATGCATTTTTTCCTCTTAATTTTGCACTGAAAACTCACATATTACTGTCACTACACAAACGGTGACAATGTCTTGCAGCAGGAGACTCCCGCAGACGCCGTGTCATGCTACAGCTGCAGCTACGGAGTGAGAAGCTCCTCCACACCGGAGACAGACAGACAAGCAGAGCAGCTCTGTGTCAATAACCTCAGTAGTCCCGCTGCTCTACGTCTGTCTTACACTCGGCGGCGGGCTGACCCAGACTCGCTTCCCATTTTAAACACATTTACAAAGTGAGTTGCCTCGAACTGCTCACAAAAAAAGTTAGTTTCTGGAGCCAGATAAGTGTCTTTTCGACAAGATGCGCTAAAACACTACAGCTTTTATTCATAGTGGCTGCCAAGATCAACAGAAAATGAAAACTCCTCCAAGCTGCTTTTAGGCAGAAAATACACTTCAGGATCCAAATAATGAAAAAGCATTAAACTGTTTATTTACTCATAAACTAAACTGCTTTTATTTTGATGTAAACTGTATTCTTCCACAAAGGAATATTTACAACAGAAAGGAAAAATATTGTAATATCAGTTCTTTCAAATACTGTATTATGCAGCCTTTAAAGAGAAGAGATCCTGGCTCAGATTTGTCAATTGCTGACTGCTAGCTGCACCATATCCCCCAAAAGCTGGCTATTATTCTCAGATATGATCGTCAGGGGATAGTTGATGTATTTTGATGTGAGCCTTACCTGTGCATCGCTGCCTCCAATGTTTACGATCTTGTAGCGTAGAGGGTACAGCAGCTCCACAGCCTGGTTGTAGTTGCCTTGGTCGTACTCCACCATGGCCTCACACATTGATACCCCAACAGATCCAGCCAGCTTGTGCTGGTAGTTCTCTTTTGGCTCTCTGTTCCAAAAAACAACATCAGGTTGATTGTCTGGAAGACTTAAAAGTGAGTGTAGAAGAAGTTCAGTGGAGCTCAGGATGCAAAAATCAAATGCCTTCACTGTCATTGTACAGCTGGGTTACTTTTAGTCTTCGTCTCACCCTGAAAACAATGTGAGTAAAGAAAAGTCAGATAAACTTTTTACCCTGCAGTTAACTGTAAAATTATGCTGCAGTAATTACAATTTGACAAGAAAGTAATGTATAGACCCAAAATAAAATTGTATTTCTCCTCTAAATCACCATTTCTAAGCCAGGTGGGACTGTGTGGTGGTGTCTATTTGTGGAAAATATGCCACCTCTCAGCAGTTTCAGTGCTTCATTCAGTCACTGTGTGCAGAGGTGTGAAGCTTTTAATTACCAGTCTGCTGCTAAACATGAAGGTAAAAGGTGACACTTCTGTCTCACTTCTCTGCTCTCTGCCTGTCTGCAACAGACAAATATAACACGTGCATCATTATGACTCACTAAAAGGACTCAACACAACATCGATATTTACCAACATGTGAATTGGAGTTGTTTGCATAGTGTCTGGTGTGTGTGTGAAAGCTGCAGGTGTGACACACAGCGGATCAGAGGATGCGCAGGATGAAACATCGAAACATGTGCTGCAATCAAACGAAAGCTGGCACCTTTGCACATTTCATGATGAGTCAATTAAAGTATAACAGTGATAACACAACGTCAAGTCTCGCACATTTACTGCTTTATTCGCATGTAACACAGGCTCTTTCTTCACTTTGATTAACCTCTGCTTTCTCGCTTTTGCTACTTTGAGTAGGAAGACCTGTTTTCACGAGCTTCAATGCTTTTTGATGCTATTGGGTGTGAAAATAACAGATATTTTTGTCAATTCAAAGCACAAGGTAGTAAAAGGTAACAAATGCACTGGAAAATTTGGTGATTTGACCTTGCTTATTGCTGTGCATAACTTTAATGATCCCTTAAATAATCATTGCACTGTAAAAGGAAACCATTGACTGAACATTTGCTCACCCAAAATGACTGCACTTTATAGTAGATCTACAGGCAAAAAGAGTTCACTCCATATGTTGTAGGTAGCTGCGTTTACATGGGCACAAATGATTGGAATAAATGCCTGATCAGAATTAAAATGCATTATGTTGACATGTCGATTGGAAGATTCTGATCCAATTCGGCTCAACTGGATGATTGTATTCCGATCGAGAGGGGCGGTTTATGCAGATCGTTATTACAAAAAAACATCCATGTAAACACTTATTCCGATCGTGACTTTCTTACCTAACTCGATCTTCACTCTTTAGCCTTTGGTTTATTTATTGAGGCCAGAACACGAAGTTTTATTATTAACACTGGCATAAAACACAACCACAGGTGCCGTGTCTGCTCCTCCGGTGTTGTGCCGTAGAATGCACCCCTGCCATAGAATGCACCCCCGACGGGAGCGCGGTTGAAAGTACTTAACAAGGCGAAAATAATCCGAGTTTTCCTTACTATTGGATTAATTCATAAGCGTGTGCCTTGAATAATTTAATTCAGGCTATTCAGATAAGTCAAAAAAATAGCCCCCTGATTCGGAATATTTGCTGTCCCGAAAATATAATGTTCGCTAGCTTGACAGCTTACTGTACAATTTATATACCCAAGCACACCTCCGTGTGTGCATTTTTGAGACACATAAAAACAGAACAAAAGTTGTCATGATCAAATACTCGTAGTTTTTAAAATATGAGATAATTTTCTTCCACTTTAAGAAGCTAACGAGTGGATGGAATGCAGGGGGTGCACTCTACGGCAGGGGTGCATTCTACGGCACAACACCTGTTACATAACAAGGCGTACATATAGCGTAATGATGTCACATCTGCACAGACAGTGCAATTTTTGACAGAACAGTTAAATAAGTACGCAAGGGCGCCATCTAGTGACAACATTTAACAGAGGGAAAACTTCTGAATTGGATGAAGTGAGCCATGACAGCGTTTGTTAGTTTGTTAACAGCACAGGCGTCAATACAACTCTTCTTCTGTGGTTGTTTTAGTGCACATGTCCAAATGCTTCTAATTTGAATAAACTTGGTGCATGTATACTATATTCTTTGATTTTGCACCCATATAAACTGTGGATTCAGATTATCCAATCCCTCAAATTTTTAATCAGATCAAAAAATTGTGCCCATGTAAACATGGCCAATGACAGCTTCCCTTACTGCTTTACAAAAGGGCAAAAAAAGTTTTTTTTTTTCAGTTCAGTGAGATGTTCTGAGAAAAAAGATTCACTTCATGAAATAAGGATTTCGAAGATAAAAAGTTCTAAAGAATTGGAAACTTTAACTGTGAATAATATAATAAAGGAAGAGAGAGAAGAGTTTGGTAACTTTAAAAAAGACCCAGTCATTTTTGTACGAAAGCTCTAATGCTCAATGACATGAGTGACGCTAATATGTGATCTCAACCATGAAAAAAATCATTAATACTAAGAAAAGTAAATGAAAAACAGCTCTGAGCTATTTCTGCACACTGACATACGCATGGGAAGATTATTCATGCTGAAATATGAAGAGCAGTAATATCAGAGGGGGATTCACTTTGCTCCCAGGCCAAAGATGCTGTGCTGTTTACAGGCTTTTTTGGATTAGCACATACTCTGAGATACTTCCTCTGGCTACAGGAGGTTGAATAAAGAAGATGACGTCAGTGTATGGATTATGTAAAAATCTGTTCAATCCTTCTGAAGCAAGGGAAATAAATGTGACACCATGCGATGTATTTCAGTGATGGGGCTGAATAGATGCAAAGCTGAAACATGTCCACATGGCTTCTCTGATGGTTAAAAGAGGTGCTGTGTTGAATTTCAAGTGCAGGTTTTAAAAGGCAGCTTAAATAGAGAGAGAACAGGCTGTTCATGGTTAGACACCGCAGAGCTCCAGAGAGGCTGCAGCTGCTGGTACATCTGCTGCAGAGGGAAGACCCCGTTGTCTACCATGGACTGCAGCTCTGAGTTCTGATTCCTTTCTCTGTATCCAGCCTTCCCACGCTCGGCACTGTTTCTGTCTTAGTTTTTACATAAGGCCTGGGTGGCTCTTATGTAACGCTGACAGAGTTTCAGGGTGTGCACCGAGGAGGAGAAATGGTGTGAAACTTACTTGGACAATTCCTGGAGGCCCTTGAGCAGACGCTGAGAGGTGGCGCTCTCTTTGGCTCCCAGCGACGTCATGAGGAAGTGGACGTCGTTGAAAATGGTCACGTGGTCGTCAGTGTGAGGCTGGGTTATCTGGAGCAGCTCTCGCCAGCGGTCCTTCACACACACACCTGACATACCGACACACAAAGCCTGCGTCAGAGTTGCACTATACTCTTGAAATAATAAAACAACTTTTGTCTCAATTTAAATACAGTACGCCATTTCCTTCAAATGTGTCAGAGCTTGGATCACACATGCCTGAAATATTCACAGGCTTTTTGGAAAGAGCGTCATTAAGCCTGACAGCTTAGAGAGTTCAGAGCAAAGGCAGGCTGAAAAAATGAATCGGGATAAAGATAACAAAGACGTAAAACTAACACCTCGATGAACCTACCTCACCTCTCTTTGGCACATTTATAAAGCAGTATGAAAGCATCTGTAAGGCCCTACAACAACCCTTATGAGTGATTAGAAGTATTCACTACAGCTTATAGCAGTCTTTATAGAGTCTAATAAGCTTTGAGTATGATGCCTCATAAAAGTGCTGTTTATAAAACCTTTAAATAAACTGCATCTTCTGAATTCTAGGTCCAGGTTTATGTTAAGTGTTGGCTTTCAATTCTATTGCTTGAAAGTCAGCAGCTGTTTTCATGAATATCAGCCTTGACAACAGACTTCAGTGCAACAATTACCATCTATAACAAGATCGTCACAGAGCCGTCAACCCAGAGAGGACCCTATAGAAGTACTTCAGAAGCAAAGTAGGTGTTATTGTTTTCTGTCTGCAAAAATGTTGCATATAAAAGCTCTGAACAAATACCAGTACCCAGCTGTGTTAGGTTTCCATGCATGGACACTAAATAACAGTGGTTCTTAAAGTGGGGCTCAGGGGGGGATTGATGAAAAAGATCAGTTATGTCATATTCATATGTCATCAGTTTTCTGCTGTATTTCAGACCTGATGTGACTTTGACTAATCAGCAAAAGCCTCAGTGGCAGCAGGTAAGTTTTACAGCAGCACTAGAGACACAAAAACATTTGTAGGCTAATTATCTGTGCATTCACTCACACAGTGGCTGATTACTGGAAGTTATCAGCAGCTCAAAAGGTCAATTACACAATCTGAGTAAATTTGTTGGTAAAACTACTTCATTATAAATCAGTAAGTGTTTGTGAATAATTATCTTATTTAATTACAATCTAAATCATGACGGAACATTGATTAACACACTTACTGCCTAATTGAATCATTACCTGTGTAAATGATGCAGAAATGTACGTCTACACAGTTTGAAAATTCAACAAATCTAGAAAGTCTACAAATTTGAAAACTACTGGTTTGCAATAACTGATTTAGAATCGATGAATCCAAGTTTATGGTATTACTGTCTGCATAGTGTCATTACAAATGAACCTTGTTAAAGAGGGGGTACCAAGCGTTTTTTTCAGACTCTTCTTTTCTGTTTTGTCTTTAACCTCCTAAGACCTGGCGTCCACATGTGTGGACATCACATTTTTGGTTGTCAAGACCACAATATTAAATTTTGTTCACAAGGGCCTTCTCTCAAAATTTAAAACAAATGTCCCCATATGTGAACATCATTTTTCTCAGAAACTACATCATGTAAAAAGATCATTCTTTGTTTTTATACTCATCAGGTCCCAATTAGTCTAAATATTAAAGAGAAAATAAAATGCATGCCTTGCAAGAGTTCGGGTCTTAGGAGGTTAATAGCTTTATGTGATTTTCAGATTTAAAAAAAGCCTCCTGTTTCTCACTCTGGTGTTTTAAAATATCATTATTTCAGTCTGAAACACTTTGTTTTAGCTGCTGTCTTTTTGAGGCCCCCACCCGTCTGATTGGCCACCTGGTAAGGGGAGCCTGTAATGCTGACGCAGGCATTTTAGTGAGTCTCGCGTTTTCTCGTAAGGTCCCGTTTTGAGCAGTTTACACCTACTTTCAGAGTTGGTGACAAAATATGTTTACTTTGTTATTTGAAACTTTGCATACATCCCCTTTAACAGTTTGACACCCCCCTCTAACACTGTCCAACCTGATGATACGTGGATCCCAGTCAAAAAATGGTAATGGCTACTTCGCGAGATCACCTTTACCTCCATGCATGTGGTGTTACACCACTAACCACTGGCCTGACATGCAAACTGCAGTGTTTACAGTTCCTTTTTGCAGATCCACCTGCATGCAGATTGATTTCACATTGTCACATGGATAGATTTTTAAATGTAGTTTTAACAGGGTGGTTCTCATCCAAACAAGGCCATAAACCCTGACATGAGATAGGTGTCGAGAAGCTTTGGATCTTTTGTTACAGAAAATAGAAATATAGCTGCAGAACTCAATGAGGCTCACCCCCTTTTCACAAGCTAACAAAGATTTCCCCTCCTAATACTTGTCTCAAATATACCCATTATTCGTTTTTTTCTTTTTTTCCCACCTTTTGGCCCTTCACCAACACATTCACATCTGTTATAACACATTCACTGAGATAATTAACGTCATCTTGAGAAGTTACAGTTCTTGTTATCGTCTCTGTTTTCCATCACACAGACAGTTGTTTCATTGTTCAGGGTAGGTCACGAGTTTCCCTTTTTTCCCCCCCAGCTCACCCTCCATTTCCAGTCTGTAGAGCAATGAGGAGGCATCGACTGTGTCCAACATGGATCCCGATGCTTTACAACGGCTGAATATCTAAAGAGGATAAAACAAACTTTAACTATCGAGCACAGCGTGATGGTCTGCGTCGTCACAGCGTGCACACAGACATTTTTCGGAGAGATAACATTTATATAAGGACGCAGCTCTGCTTGTCTGGATTCCACTGACATGCACTTTAAAACATTTATGGCGTTCAACAGACAACATGAGAGAATTTCTGTTGTGTTCAAACTTATAGCAGTAGAGAGTAGGACTATGAAATGTTGATGAGAGAGGCTTTCCTTTAAAACTGTCTCTGCTATTTTTAGACGGGGATAAAATAATAATTAGCCCTGGCAGCTGACACTGAACCCCTGTCCTGACATGAGTTTAACTTCCATTTGCACGCATTTGGCTTCTTGACTCAAACACAGCACAACATATTGCTTTTAGTCTGCGTCCCATGTGTATTGGTGTATGCACAGCTCTTCAAAGGCCTGCATGTGTATGTGTGCACAGACAGATGAGAATTAAAGGTTTGACTTCACCTCTTGATGTTTACCTACCTGAGAATCAAATATCTCCAGAGCAGCTTCATACTCCCCCTGTGGTAGTGGGGAAGGAGGAGGAGGAGAGGGTGAATTTGAATAACTTCAGACTGGAGAAATAAAGGGAGGTTGATAGATTGTGTTGCACAGATGCAAACACAAATTAATCTTGCAATATAATCAACTCCAGACTTGAAATTACCCAGGGGAAAGGATATCATAAATACAAATTCCACAACACTCCCTCTGCAAACTATTCGCCTGACTGAGAAAACTCATTATGATCTTTACCTTCTCCAGGAAGTAGAGAGCCCAGTGCCAATAGTTGTGACTGGCCAGAATGTCAGATACCTGAAATTAAACCAGGAAAATTTGACATATTAATCTTCATTTAATTCATCGGACAGGATGGGGATGCAGCAAGTCTTAATATAAAATGAGCCATACTGCATCTCATTCATGGGTCTCTACACGCTTGTGGGTTGTGGTATTTTTTGTTTTGAGTATAACGAGCTTCCATGCATTATATTTCTCATGCAATCCCAGATTTGCAGTCCTGAAAGTGCAGCATCTGGCAGATATGTAATATCTCTTCGAAATTGGCTCTGTTTGTGAGTGCCTGTGAGTCCCATAATGGGATGTAAATACTCCCAAAGAGTTTATATCCAATCACTCTGCCCTAAAGTTTGAGAAAGATGACAATACCAGAGTGAGAATTCACCACAAACCACTTTTAATATGGACTCTATGGTTATCTGCCCAAACTATAACACTAAAAAGCACTTTAAATAAGCTGTTTTAAACATGGTTCCTACCAGTGTGGTAAGTTCCTTTTTTGCAGATTATGTCAAAGTGTTTATTTTCTGAGTTTTGGTTTTAATTACTTATTTGATTTTAAAAAAAAGGAGTTCAGGTAGCTTCTTCTCATGCCGTGGTTTCACCAGTATGAACGTCAGTACCTGCAGAGGATTTTATTTGGCTTAAGAGCATAAAAGAAGTTGTCAATTTTTTATGTTCCCTGCGTCTTAGTTCTCTAAAATCATGTCTTCTTAGTCCTCCGTCCTTGGCTGAGCTGGAAGTGGTTGCTGGCATGCCATGTTGAGTGGCATCCCATGGCCCAAATCCAAGAGGAGAAGAGAAACAAGAAGCAAGGAGGGACTTTGAGGGAGAGTGACAACTGAGGATGCACATCCTGGAATTCTTTTGACCAGCAGACACGCCTCAGAGTCAAATATCAGTTTGATAGCTCTGCCATCTTTTAAACCTGAGTTGAGGTAAACTGTAATTTCAAAAAAACGTATTACTGTGTCACCTCCTCAAATGGGAAAAAGTGGACATGACAGTCAATCTGCAGCGCTCACCCAGCAATATTACTGCGTGTAACAACATCACCAAATTGCAACAGTCCTTCACTAATGCCTCCTGTCATACACAGCAAACTGCTTTAAACAGACACAAAGGGCAGCAGCAAGGGCAGTGGGGTGTTAATTGCCAAGGACTGGCAGCTGTTTTTGGTGGTACCAGACATAGGCTTTAGTCACCTTATGAAAAAGCTCTACTTGTGTTTCGAAGGTCCTTCTGGCAGGTTTTCTGTATCCTAACCTCTGTAAAACGACACATACTAAAATCGAACTGGCAAAAGCACAAAGCATTAATCTCACTACTGCTTGTTGGAACTTGCAGGCAACAGACAGATACCTCACAGTGGCAGCTCACGATGTTGGGACAGAAGATAATAAGTTCTGTGTTCTCCACCCTCCCCCATACAAAATTTATACAAGCAATTTATGGCAGGGCTGAAAGATAGAGGATTTGAACATAGTAATTGTGATGTGCATTTGCAAATTTGTTACGCAGTAGGATGAAACACGTCACTCAAGCGACCTCTAACATGGTCATGCTGTCACCACCTCCTTGTTTTCCAGGATGTTTCTAGAACCACTCAGAGTCTCTATCTGTGCCATATGACTGTCGAACGTAAACATGCACTCAAGCATTCATACTGCAGCTGTTACAGATACCTGAAAAACACCTGATCAGGCGGGGTGGATTTAAAGATGAGCTGCTCACCCTGATGATTGTTAATACCTTGGGGCATATGTGAAGAGAGCTGAACTCACAGGACCTCAGAGTGTTTACTTTTGGCGTCTAAAAATTGAGAGCACAAACATCCTAGTGATGAACCGTCACTGGGCTTGTGACACGAATTGATCTTAATTTATAACATGGACAGAAATAATTGATTATGTGTCAGTCAGCAGCTTTAATTAGTGACGTTGATAAGTAATATGTCATTCTGCTTGTCCTCCCTTTTCCTCTACTAATCCATGCTGCTGTCAGGGGCTGTGGTTAAACTGGACTTGATTTGGAAAGCATAAAGTAAGCTTTAAAATCCACTTGAAAAATAGTCAAAGTGTAATTTCAGTTTTTTTGTGTGTGTGTTTTTATAAGCACTTAAAATCTGACCAAAAAACAAGCAAAGTATTGAACCATGGCCTGACAGAATATACTGCTGCTTTCCCACTACACTAGTGTGCCAGTCTGCTGAGGTGGGATTTTTCCCGACAACACAAGTTGTAAAACACAGTCAAAGGTTGTACCTGCCAGTCTTTCTCTCTGCTCTCCAGAAACTTCAGTCCTTTGTCTACCTCTGCTCTCATCTCAAAGACGTGAGCTACAGAGTGCACAGCCCAGGAGTCTCCAGGAGTCAGAGCGAGGCCCTGCGGAGAAGTTCACAGACTGAAATACAAAAGGCAACACAGACGCTGGGAAAATCCTGCACTTCTTCAGCAAAGTATTATTGCAATTTATAAATAATGGCAAACTTGACCCTCAGAAGATGTCGTTTCATCTCTGATGTGATTTTCAAGTGACCCTCATCTCACTTAGGCTTTCTAAGCTTCAGCACAGAGGAGCTGCTGGGCCAGAGTGAGCTGCTGTGTTTTGGTGTTAGTGTCTGACTGCAAATTACTTGGAGAATTGAACTGACACTATCAGCTCAGGCACAGACAGTCTGGACTAGCTACTTAAAATAATGAAAACAGAGTAGAGAAAAGCCAATAATAGAGGGGAGAAACTAACCTCCATGGCTACTTTGAGAGCCTGGTCGTAGAAACGGGTTTCCATGAGGCCAAAGGAGTACATCCCTTTCAGATAGCTGAGGGCACAAACACACACAAACAAAACTCTTATCACCAAATACAGAGTGGAAATTAATTTTACTTATGAAATTAATTCATTCAGGATGATTAAAAGCAAACGCAAAGTGTTGTGCTTCCAGCAATGACAGCTAAGGGTTATAAACAAGAGTGGTTTGAAGTGACCTCAATTTGCTTCAAAAAGTCAAATCAAATATTACCAGTCAACTTTTCATGCCCTCAACAACTTCAACAATAATATGAAAACTCTTTGAAAGTACGGGCTTTGACTGTCACTGTTGTAGGAGTAAATTAATGATCTGTACCTGCAGACAAAACAGGAACTAATCGCTGTGAAGAGACACAAAAGGCAACAATATGGTTTCATGACAGGCCCACTGTTCATAGTACAATGGAGCTGTATCATAACATTTGGATTTACAAACAAAGACAACAAGTATGGACAACAACAGCGCACCGACCACAGCTAAGGAGTCTGGGAGGCAGTAAAAGGTCCATGTAGGAAAGCATGTTGAACACCACCATCACCACTCACAAGCAGTGAACCTGCTGAGCTACAGTGCCTTGAAAAAGTGTTCATACCCCTTGAATTTTTCCACATTTTGTCACTCAACAACCACAAACTTAAAAGTTTGTCGTCTCATTTGTTATGTCTCTAAAAGTCATCTACTATTTACAGAAGAATTAAACAGTCTGATGACTGTGGGTACAAAAGATCTTCTGAATCTTTCTGTCTAACAACGAAGAGAGAGGAGCCGTCCACCACCATTGGCCCTTTGGTCCATCAAGGTGTCATGAAAAGGGTGGTCCATGTTCTTTAGAATAGTCTCCACCTTCCTCAGAGTAGATCTCTCCACCACATCTTCCACAGAGTCCAGCTTAAATCCAACCACAGAGCCAGCCTCTTTCACCAGTTTGTTAAGTCAAGCATTTAGCATCTGTGGCAAGACTTGAAAATTGCTGTTCACAGACGCTCTCCATCCAATCTGGCTGAGCTTGAGCTATTTTGCAAAGAAGAATGGGCAAAAATTTCAGTCTCTAGATGTGCAAAGCTTGTAGAGAAATACCCCAAAAGACTTGCAGCTGTAATTGCAGTGAAAGGTGGCTCTACAGAGTATTGACACAAAGGGGGCCTGAATACAAATGCACACCACACTTTTCAGATTTTTATTTGTTTAAATTTGTAACCATGTATAATTTTCGTTCCACTTCACAATTATGTGCTACTTTGTGTTGGTCTATGACAAAAAAATACTTTTTAGTTTTTTCAAGGAGTATGAATACTTTTTCAAGGCACTGTATGTGTTTTAATGCACTGGTTCTACTTCTACTAACCACTGATGTGTTTTTATGATTATGAGACATGAGTTTATTTACCTGCTTTAAGACTCAACTGGCCTATCCTGTTTTTAAGGGTAATGAAGTGGAAGAGGAACTGTTGTTTGAGCACTTTGTTGCGTGTTTGTTCTTTACTGTCTGAGCAGAATCTCCTTCATTTGGATTCTACTTGCCTGATGGTGACAGTCAACATCAGAATATCAAATACCCCTCTCTTCTACCAAGCTGGTTCCAGGGCTAGTTCAAAGCCAGCACCTGATTTGGCCCCTGTTCTTTGTTTTTCCACCACCAAAGACTTGGCTTCAGAGTTGCATCAACTCCTTGCTGGGACAACACTTCAGTAAAAAGCTGAAGGCAGCGTTAATGTGGTCAAAATAAACTTCTTCAAAACTTTGTTACAGCCAAGAAAAAGTAACAAGGGAAGAAAAGGTACACTGTTTTCATTTCTGTGTGAGGCTTTAAGCTGAAGGTAACTGAGCTTAATCAATTTACTAATATCTTGTGTGCTTGTTCAATATTATAAAACTCCCTTAGGCTTGGATTGGATCTTAAATTAGATACATTTAAGGACATCTATTCAATTAGTACTGAAGGAGAGGAGGAAGAAAAAATATATATTCAATTTTATGAGCGTACACTGGCAAGTGAAGACCATCATTTTTCTCCGCATATATTTTAGAGATAACCCTGTGATGTATTTGGACCTACATGGTTATTTGTGTTTGTAAAGTCTGCAGCAAGTCTGACCCTTGACCGTGACCCTTGTGTTGCTTTTTTGCCTATGTAAAACGTCACTGACTGTGTCAACTCACCGCAGTCGTAAAAGTAGAATTATTACTGCTGTAACTCTGTTGTTGACCCTTTTCCCTCACTATGATATGTAGAGATAAGCAAACATGACTGCACTGAGAGCCCCCATATAATTCAAACCCTGGGTCTGCTTCCACTGTACAATGAATGGACTCAGAAAAAAAGGAGTTTCCTCTGAGATTTGATCAAATTTCACAGGGACCAGCTGCACAGAAGCTCATGGGAGTTATTTTACATACTCTGGCACACATATTTCCTAATTTGCTTTCAACAGATGATGATTAAATAGAATATTATGAAACAAATAAGCATTTGAAATCTGTCTTGGTAAAATTTGTTATCACATCACATTAACTGAAAATATAAAATATAGATTAAATTATGTAAAACCAACCTTGAGGAGCAGTCCCTGATCTTGTGCTTGTTGTGTTTTATTCAGATCTATCATGACAACTCAATGACACAACTTGCCGACCAGTTAAGGCACTACAAACTCAAAGTTCTTCTTAAGGAGTGGCTTTCAGCCGCCATCTCCACTCATGCTCCACAGAGTGACTTTTACAAGATGAAGAACCAGCATCAGTGATCAGAAGAAATGGAGCTGAAGGAGAGATAAGTGAGGAAGAGCGGTGTGAAAAAGAACCAGGAGTAAAAAATGAGCAACAGCAGGAGAAGGAAACTATTGGAGAAAATCTGCCGAGAAGAAAAAGGAGCAGGGAAGAGAAGGCAAAATAATTAGAAGGGGTGGGAATAATGTGAAGAATAGAATTAAAGAGAAAGAGAGAAGGCGGAGGGAAATGAGCCATGGGGAGCAGAGAAGAGGAGAGGGAAAAATGTGGAAAAGCTGACAGAAGTGAGGTCTGATTTCAAAGAGTGAGAGGGTGTGAGAGAAAGTGAGCAAAGGATTATGTGTAAAACAGAAGGTGTGGAGGGAGCAGGTGAAGAGGAAAAATGACTCCACATGGGAATGTAACGAGTAGAAAGAAGTTAAAATCAGAGTAGATAGAGAGATGTGCCAGAAGTTAAACAAAAAGAGAATGAGATGTTTGTATCTTGAATTTGGGGGCAGTGACAAACCAGGAATACGGCAAAGGCAGGAGATACAATGCTACCCGGTTGACCAATCGCAGGACTCGCTGTCTGGCTCATAAATCACAGCATTTGTTCCATTTTCTCTCTCTGTTCCTCCTCTAATCTGTCAATCCATCACAAAATGCTGCAGGAGCCTCAGCTGTCAACAGAGATTCACCCGTTTACAGTAACAGGTCAATTCTGATAAGGGACATACTTTGCTCATTTGCAATAAATAAAAAGGTGTGTATATGAACATATTGCTATCAGTCTGCAAATATGAGTCACAAAATATCTTCAAAGATCCAATATTATGCATCCCTTTAAAAAACGTGAACTAAAATGACAGAAATCTTGTTTGTCATGTCTGTATGAGAATTTGTTATTTTGGTCTATGTCCCACAGGAGGGGCTTTATGGTCCTCTGACTGCAGCCTGTCAGTACAGGGAGCTTTAAATGTTTGGGGACCTGTCATGTTGTCTGTCTTTTTTACAGCCTGAGCCCAGCAGGTTAGAGTTTATAGTGTCTGAATTTGCTCTTGCATTAAAACTAATGTTGCTCCCTTTACACTTGTACAGCAAGTCAGCAGATATATATCGTACAATCTTCATATTTCATTACTGTTACATACTTATTTCCTTCCTATAAAAGCAACAGTGTAATACACTCTATTGCTGGAAATGTGAGAAGTCCCACATTTATTTCAAGCTGGAGGAACTCGGACAGGTCAAACATTTTATCTTTTTAGTTTCTATGCTTCAAATATCTGGAATTAACTACCAGAAAGTTCTTTCAAATCTAGGCTGAAGACTCACCTGTTTTATTAGACTACAAATGATTTCCAGGTCCATTTTTAATTGTTTCATATAGATCTGCAAAGTAAAGTTTATGCTCCTTTTTTTTAAAATGTCTTATTGTCCCTTGTTTTAGGAGACATTGTTGCTGATTTTCCCCTTGCCTTGATTTTGAACAGCTTATTTTAAAGACTTTTCAAACTGTTTTCTCCATCCTCTGTAATGATATGTTTCAATGTCATGCGGGAAGCCTTGTTGCCAAAATGTGCTGGATAAACAAACTCTTCTTGCTTTGCCTAAAACAGACTCACAATGATAAACAGAGAGGCACTACTTTGCAAAATCTGGAAACCAGCTGTTAGTCTGATTGAGTAAAGAGTGTTTTCTTTTCTTCCCCTCTTTTGCTCTTGTGTGCTCCGTTTATGTTGTTGTCTTTTGTACTGTATGATATATCGTTTTCAAAATTCATAAAAAGATTGCACTTTCTGTTTATTTTATGTGTGAGGGGATCACATAGAAGTAAATGAGTCTTGGTCAGGTCGGTAAACTACCCTCTGCATGTAATATGTGGTCTCCTCTGTACCTGGATAAAGGCATGTGTGGTTTCCAGTAGGGCAGCACTCGGGCCACTGAGTCCCTCAGCTGGTTTTGGGCTCCGATGTAGAAGTAAGCATCATGGGAAAACTTCAAAGCCAGCATATCAGTGGGGTGTTCACACAGGATGTCCTCCCATATGTCGGTGGCCTTGGTGAAGTTTCTAAACAGACATGAATCACTGTTACAAAAGGGAACAGGTTCATAAAGACACAAGACTGGCTGAGCGTACTATCACAGATGTCGATAAAAGGTCGTGTTGAAAGGAGGGAGTCAGAGGCACATGAAGTATTTAATATTGAGTCTTCTGAAGAATATCACAGTATCCTCCACCACTGTGGGGAAAAAGACACTACAGGTAAACTAGACCAATTAATTGTTGAGTCTTTTGTGCACATTAAAACAGCTTCATGCTGTGGATGGTAAAAACATGACTGCTTCACACAGAGAGACAAAATGAGAAGCTCTGAGAAGAGAGAATATTGTCAGAGATAAAACACGTTCTTGTAGTTTCTTGTCATCTAAAAAAGCGTTATTGTTTCACAGACACTGAAAAAACTATTTTCTCTGTCGCAGTGGTAAACAAAACTGATCTCTTGTCTTTTGGGATGCTACGCTGACTGACTGCTCTGGAGCTCTCACTTCACAACATGCTGCTCTAAATCAAAGAGATGTCTCTCTTTTTACCAGATATACTGGAGTTTGATTTAAGCAGCAAAATGTTTTCACAAAACTTCTTTATTAAAGCTCCAATAAGGAACTGCTGTCAATTTCGGGACCCACTGTGGACAAAGCAGTCTTTGCTTATTTAGTCCTCTAAATGCTCAAAAAGTATCCTCTGATAAAACATTCATCTTTCTACACGAAAATCTATCACTTGTCTTGAATGTTTCATGTGGAAAATGTAAAACAGTGCTGTTCCTGCAGCAGCTCGGCTGACATCGACCCTCTCACATTAGTTTGAGGCTTTAGAAATGTAGAATAATACTTAAAGGGATATTCTGGTGAAAAATTAAGTTAGGGTTAAACACACTATAGCACCAAGTTAGACAGCCCGTCGAGAGATGAATGTTGCTGACTGCTTGCTTCTCTAGTTATACCTACTTTAGTAATGACCACACGATAGCAATACAGAGAGCCACACGCTCAACCAAAACGCCACTCTATAGCCACAAATAATGCTCAGAACAGCACCTAACCTTATCAGCAGTGCATATAGGGTCCCAGCCATAGCACTAGCCACCAAACATCTATTTAGCTCTTCCTGATTTCTTTAGCAGAGAGACTAAAAACAGCTCACCTACTCTCTTCCAGCAGCTGCTTCTTTGTAAGGAAACCTTTGGGTAAGTCCATCAACTGCAGCTGGAGGACGCAGTTCAAGGAAGAACATTTATCATCATTTCCTCATGGAAATGCAAGACCAAGATGCCACGTCTGCAGTGCAAGGTGATTGATATGATGAATATTACTTCAAGGTCATGATAGAGTAATGATCATGAATGTTCTTCCTTGAGTTGCGTCACCCCCACTGCAGTCAATGGACTCACCCGGAGGTCTCCGTACAAACAAGTGGCTGCTGGAAGAGAGTAGGTGAGTTGTGTTTAGACTCTTTGCAAAAGAAATCTGGCAAAGTTAAAAAGATGTTTGGTGGCTAGTACTATGGCTGGGACCCTATATGTACTGTTGATGAAGTTAGGTGCTGTTCTGAGCATTATTTGTGGCAATAGAGTGGCGTTTTGGTTGAGCGCGTGGTCGTTACTAAAGTTGGTATAACTAGAGAAGCAAGCGGTCGGCAACATTCATCTCTCGACGGGGTGTCTAACTCAGTGTTACGGTGTGTTTGACTCTAACTTAATTTTAAGCCAGAATATCCCTTTAAGCTTTGTTTCTTTCTTATTACAATGACTTAATTTGGATGAAAAGGATCAACAGGTTAATGGTCTACAAAACTATAGCTGTATGCATTAATGTCATCCAGAGTTTTATACCACAAATTGGGCAATATACTGGCCTTCATTTTATGAGCTGACTTGGAGTTAAATCCACAATGTGCTGCAGACTTTTAGATCCAGTTTTTGACATATTTTAGTTTTTTGTTTCTCAGATATATCTATTGCCTTTTTCTTTTTTTACAAACAACAAACTCAGCACAACTTTGGTCTACATGCATCATAGCCTAACCCTAACAAAATGAAACATACAAATATGAAAGAAAAGACAATCCACATGGTCCTTCCTAATTATTCAATTTTCTCCCTAAAATAGGGCAGAGTCCACAGTTAGAGCAGTACAATACTTGCAAGTGCTAAAGCAATAGTGGTGCTTGAGAAACAGAGATATGGAGTACATATGTGCAAGATTTTTTTTTTCTTTTTTTATCTGAGTGAAGCAGCCAAGTCAGGTATTGAAGAGGAAAAAAATCCCATAATAATCTTATGGTGGTAGTTTTTCACTTATTCATGACAAAAAGATATTCTTCCCTGCAGTAAATGTAAGAATATTATACAGTCTGCTGAAGTAGATACAAACAATACCATCTTGACATGGACTGACCCAGGAGTAAAGAGGCAGGATTCAAACTTGGTGAAATGCCAAGATTTTTTTTCCCATATCATGTAGAATATCAACCCAGTATGCACGAATTTTAGGGCAAAACCAAAAACAGTGTGTTTAGGTCCCTACAGAGATTTTATATTTAAGACACAGAGGGGAAGTTTAGGGGTTCATTTTATGCCTTTGGCTGGGAGAAATCTGCAGGCGGTGCAGGATTTAAATTGTAGCAATCTTGCACGATTAAACACTGAGATCTTCCTTGCGCTCTTCCATATCATCTCCCATTTATCCTCATCTATATTCACACCCAGGTCGTTCTGCCATGTCTTTGCAGCAGCAGGAGTATTCAACACATCAGTATGGTTCATGACATTGTAAAAACGACATAGATTGTTTAGTACAGTGGTTCTCAAGTCCAGTCTTTGAGGCCCTCCTGTCCTGCATGTTTTGGATGTTTCCCTGCTCCAACACACCTGATTCAAATGATCAGCTCGTTATCAAGCTCTGTAATGGCTTAATAATGAGCTAATCATTTGAATCAGGTGTGTTGAAGGAACTGAAGCAGTAGCTGTTCTTTGGGTGGCATAGTGGCATATGTTTTGAGGGTGGGTTTTTTTTTTTTGTTTGTTTATGAAATCTCTAATTTGGAGGTATCCAAAAAATTGGTATCTGGGTAGATTATATTTCTTTTAATTTTTTTCAAACAATGACAAGGATGTTCCTTCAAATAGGTTATACATTTTCTTTATCCTTCGGGATGTCTTAGTGTTATACCCAGTATCAGACATGCCTGGCTATGAAGCTTGGGTGACCCTGACTTGGAGTTAGTAGGGGTGTTGAGCTGGATCTCCCTTCAAGCTTCTGTGAACTAAACCATGCCTGTAATGTATGATTCCCGTGGACACATTTGTTACAGGACTGCATTTCCCATGAGCCTCATCACCAGCTGTCATAAAAATGTGTCTCTTGCAAAAGCCTGCAGTCATGGTGTAAGCAAACTGATTGTAAACACATTTTATTCTACTTTTCTTTGTTGGGAACATTGTTTTGAACGATGCAGAGTGATAAGCTGATGTATTGATCTGTTATGGGTTATTATACTGATAACTGAGTATTGGGACCATGTAAAATCAAAGTTCTTATTAAAGATGTATACATTTGTTTTTAAAGATTAAAGAATATTTTCTGAAAGAGTAAAGCCTTAAGAAAATCCAGTTGTGATGTCACAAAATGTGTTTTCAGTCATATTGTTACATTAAAAAAATCACAGACGGGTTAAAAGAAAGATTTATAAAGTCATAATAGAACAAGAATGAAGTCATGCTAAATCACGATGAAGTTGATTTGTGTAACAGTGAGCAGTCAGCTGTCTGTACCAAAATGAGGAACCTTACTTGTTTTGTTAAATCATCCAATGTGTTGTCTCATTAGCTCCACATTGTCAAAAGTTTCAGGACTCTAAAGAGACTGTTTGAAGACCTAAGATGTGTGATATTAAAACAGCACTATGCTGCTACTTGTTGACTTTGAATATGATTTGATTATGGCTCTATTCTATTGAGCAAATGATTTTAAATGTGGCCCCAATATTATGTTGCCCAAATTAAATCAATAATAATGATAACTGTCTTTTTAAGAAATTAAAATATTGATTTTCTGCTAAGATTAAGCATATAGAAATACCATGTGACTAACAGGTTGGTTTTCAGGGGAAGTGGAGGTTCTTTATGCTGTTTTTTTGTCACCCAGCATAAAACACGGGTGACAACAAAGCAGCAGCAGCATAAAACGACTTAATAACAAGCCTTTATCACAGTGTGTGGCTTTTACTGATGTACAAATCATGTCAAAGGAGATGACAGATAAAAGGACTCGGTACACACCCCAAAAATATTTCCCACCAGTCTCGTCTTTTGCAGTTATTGTAAAAAGATGGGGTCTTAAAAAACAGCAGTGCAGCATTCACACGGAACTGGGCTCTATTTGTATAGTGCTTTCTGACCACTCAAAGTGCTTTTCCATCACATACCACATTCACCCATTCATACCACATTCATACACTGATGGCAGAGCCTGCTTTGTATAGCACCCATCAGTGTTTATTATTCCCATTTATACACGGCTGGGTGCAGCCAGCAGTGGCAGTTTGGGGTTTAATGTCTTGCCCAAGGACACTTCTAAGTGAGTCATGACCAGCTCTACCATCGAGCCACGGTTGCCCGATTCACACTGAAATTTTTTCAGTTAGAATAGAAGATATCTTGCCTTTGTATGCAACTGAATATAAGTGGAAAAGGAATTGAAAATCATTGTTTTACATTTCTTTGCACGTTTTGCACAATGGCCCAGCTTCGAGATGTTTGCCAATCAGATAGTGTTGTGGGCGGGGCATTTGTTGATACAAGTGGCGCAAGAAAACAGACCAAGAGGAAAAGATTTACCAGCAGTGGTGCAGAGGTGGCACATTTGTTAATTCTATTGGTCATTTGTAAAACAAAGGATGACACAGGTAATCAGCCTAAGCCTCAAAAATCGACAAAGCTGAGGCTGATAATTGTTCAGCCTCTAATTTGGGTCATTCTGTGACTTAAAGCTGTGTAAAATGTAACATCTGTTATACTATTTAATATAAGTGATTTACAATAGACTGAGATTGTTTTGCTTACACAACTGTGTGGTTATGTAAGCAGGCCTGAACTTTCCCCAGTTCACCAAAAGTTGAGTAGATCCTTATGTTTACCAGGAATGTTAAGTTGTGTTCCCAGAAACACTAATGGGCTGTTAAATTTCTGAACCATTATACGTGTCCTTGGCTAACCTCTCACAGCTTTGGTTATCAGGCTGGAAAGACTCGCACTTGCAACACAAATCTAAAGGGACTCACTCATGTAACACACACACTTGAGAGGTGCACATTTGTAACACACACTGTAACACACACACCTGTTACCTTCACACACACACACAGCAGCATAAAAGGGATTGAGAGGAGAGTTTAGGGCTTCCTCTGATGGTTTTGGTCCAGACTGTCATCTGTAATGATTTTTACATCTGTACAATAAAGACACCAAGGTTGCTCTTCAGATCTCATCCTGTCTCCTGTGCATTGATTTTTGCTGCATAACATACATATTTTCCATAACACATTCACAAGCTGTGTCTATCTTTTTTTTCACAGCAAAAGTGTCTCAGGTAGAAGCTACATATCACGTAAAGCTACTCGAAAGGTGTACTAACCTATCAGTATGAAGAGCAGAAATCAGTACACGTTTCTTTTAAGAGCAGCTGATTTCATTGATATACGTGTTGTTTTTCTTCCCATTATTCTAACACAGTGGTTCTCAAGTCCAGTCCTCGAGGCCCACTGTCCTGCATGTTTTGGATGTTTCCTTGCTCCAACACACCTGATTCAAATGATCAGCTTGTTATTAAGCCATTACAGAGCTTAATAACGAGCTGATCATTTGAATCAGGTGTGTTGGAGCAGGGTAACATCCAAAACATGCAGGACAGGGGGGGCTCGAGGACTGGACTTGAGAGCCACTGATCTAACATATTAACTAAGGTCACTCAGTCTAACTCTCGAATTGTTCTGGACCTGATATCAGGGTTGGACAACAGCACCACCAGATGATGTTCAGAGTTATTCATGAGTGATGATATCTTGATTTTTTTCCAGAAACAGTCCAAGGGTAATTTTCTTCATTCAGCTGGATCACGTTGTTGACGATGATACAGGAACAGCTGCATAACAAGCTGTCGACTCTGCAAACCGGGCCCAAACTGCTCACATACCATGTGACAAACTGTGATGTTTGCAGGGAGCCTGTTCAGCTCAGTGTTTAAGACAGGCGCCCTGTAGACAGAGGCTTTAACCCTCATCCTTTCAACTTCTGGTTCGACTTCCAACCACGTAACTCTGCAGCACTACACCCCCCTGTCTCTTTTCAGCTGTCCGATCAAATTAAGTCGAAAATGCACTCCCAAAAATAACTTTGAAAGTAAAAATCAAACAGATACAAATAGAAAGAAGCAAGACTCTGGTCTGTCTGCTGCTGCTGCACTCTGCTCTGATGCTGACTGGCAGTGAAGTGGGCTAAACTAAACGGTGGAAACTTTATGTTTCACCGCGCTCCCCTGCCATCCATCGTGATTGACTCACCAGCTGACAGCGCTGTCAGCAGCCCGGCAGGAGAGTCGCTCGGTGGTGTGCTGGGATTTTATAGCAGCAAATGAACAGGGTACAAACTTTAATTCACTGACTGTGGAAATCTGGACCTTCAGACTACTTTTCCACCCACTAGTTTTTATCAAGTAAAAATGATAGCTAAATTTTCTTGCTGCTGTTTTTGAAAAACTTGAATGTGGATGATGAGATTATGACTACCTTTTTTTTTTAAACACAACCCAGTTTCTTTGCATCACAAATGAAGAATGAAGGCATTAAATTAAGAGACAAGGGTAAAACAAAGCAACTGTTCCGATCCAAACACTAATCTCAGTGTAAATTCTGTTTTTTACGTTTTTTAACGCGACAGTGAAGGCCGAGTGTATAGGTGGCGGTTTGGGATTGGGCCGTAGAGTCAAGCTTGAGTCCGAAAATGAAGCCCACTGCTCTTGGACACATACAAAATCCTCCACCTGCAGCAAACTGATAAGCTGGTCAGCAAACTCAGATTTAAACAAGAAAATTTTTTCACCAAAGCTACACCTACTAGCCTGAGTTTCTTTAAACTTATCTAAATTATGTGGCAAAGTTGACCAAGCCAAGCTGTGCAAGTTTCTTCCACAGCATACTTAACAAAGGGACGGAGCTACCTGGGATCCCTTACTTGTAATAACTGATTTTCATACAACCCTACTTCAACAACTACAAACTATCCCTTTAAACCACAATGTTTTGATGATTTTGATGGGTGGGTTGTTGTGACTGTCATACAGCTGGAGTTGGTTTGAGGTGAAGAACCTTGAAAAGAAGCAAACTCAAGGAAAACTCTTCCTGGTTTATTTTATAATCAGTTGTAGGTCTCACCAAAAAAAAAATTGCTGTTGAAAACATGATTTTTTTTTTTCTGCAGCGTGTTGGTAATCACTTCATCATACCTCACAGCAGTGGTTTCAAGCATCAAAAATAATGACTTAAAATATCAATCTTTCTTTGATGGTCTTGTTCACTTTCATTCCATTTTGTAGGCATCAACAATAATTTAAAACTGTTTCAAACCAAGTCTGTAATGGTTATAATAGCTTTCAATTTGCTGTGAAAATTGTGACAAACACTAAATCCTATTAACTTTAATGAAAACCCATCATCCAGTTTAGTAACATATCAAAAGTTGTTTCTCAAGCTCTTGAGAGGAACTTTTTGATTGATTAGTTTTCGGTGGTAAAGTCTTCCTTTTGATGATCTTGTTCTGTGAATGTGTTTGTGTTGTTTTTTTCTGACTGTCAAACCTCTGTCATTTTAAAGGGATATTTTAATATTTTCAAAGTGGTGTCACAAGTGCCACTTGCCAGTGCAATAGCCTCATTAGATGCATGTTGTCTCGGCTCCTTTTACTGGAAAACTGCCAGTATAAACACGACACAAGACATGCTTTAAATTCCCAAAATATCAGTGACTCGTACAATAGAGAGCTGATTTGCTGATTGTGCTATATGCAGAAGGGTTTGGTGTGCGTTCTGTTTGCAAATAACGCAAAAACAAATGGGTTAAGAGCTGAAAATTGTCTCAGAGGCACAAACACTCACACTGAGAGGCATGCTCAGATCAGGCGCTCTCAAAATTAGCAAAACAGCAAGGCAGAAAACTGTAGTGAACTAAGCGTCCTATACATAGTAGTTCCTCATTAAAGGGGCTGAGCTGACCGATGATACACTAATACTCATACAACACTCCTCCCAAAATATCGAAATATCCCTTTAACATGCAACTACAGTGATTATCTGGTGTTAAAACATAGAAAGGCTTTTTTAATAGTGTGCTGTTAATCATCTGACACCTCCTTCACTGGCAGGTAGACAAAATATGGATTACTATTAGCGGATTGCTAAATCTCTGCCCTGGTTGTCTGGTTCACTTTGGTGGGTCATAAAAAGACATCATACCCAGTTAATAACTCCTTACAGTAGCTTTAATCACAGTCTGTGAAGTATTTATGTATGCATAATGTGACTAATTCCTCCATTAGGTTTTGTCTCATCCAGAGCACTACTGTACTGTCTTTTTAAACTGGGTTTTATCTATGTGGAAAATACTGCTCACTGCTTTACAACAAAGCTGCACATATGATTCCAGAGACCCTGCCACAGCCCCAATGAGGACTTTTAGATAACTACTGGCTCTTTGAAGACAAAAGTCTTATTCATCACTCTCCTCTGACCCTCTCTTTTGTATCCTCCTGGCTCCGAATCTTACCCCCGTGAGAAGAGCTCCATAGCCTTGACATGAAGCCTCTCTCTGGGAGAAAGGACCTGGGTGTTTGCCAGCTCCACCGTTTGCTTCACATCGTCGGCCAGACGCTTATCCAACCGGACGGAGATTCCCGTCCCCATCAGATCGAGCCCCGTACTGATCACATGGCCCATAACTGCGAGAGCAACAGATAGCACTGGTCTTTTTATTGACTTTATAACTTCAATATCAAAGTAGACTAAATCAAATCACATGCACTTGGGACTTGAGACTTTCGAAGCACTGCCTGTTATGCAAAGAGGGAAACGTTTACTGGCTGTCTTTCCTTGTTCAGCTCAGCTTTTTACTTCTCTCCATATTTAATAAGAGAATAAGTGATGTTAAAAAAGGTTTCATCCCCACTGTGTGCCCTGAGGAAACCATGGTGTGCCCCCCTTTATATTTTTAACTCAAGCTGAATGTTGATTCAAGCCGTTAATTATGCTTAACAATAAAACCCCTCTTTGGTTGATACATATTTCATTTTTATGAGTAACTAGGAGTTCAAACAAGGATAAGGATTAATTCTGATTCAGAGTCATGTTTGGACTGTTATTCGTCTTAAGCCTGCAGACATAAATTTGTTTTCTTTTCAAACAGAGGCATGAAAATCAATTGAATGGCCAGATCTTGTGTTTTTTAAGCAGTTAAAATCAAAAGCAGCTTACATGCTCCAGGAGGGGGGATACATTTTTGAACCTGAGCATTAGAAGCTTAAAAAACAGACATAAATTAACTTTGCCTCAGTTCCATGGACTGTAAGTCTATTTAGCATGCAAATTATTGGAGGAGGCATGCAAAATAACAAATACACTGTACTGTTTCAGTTAAATGGATCACAGTCAGACAGGTTTATAAGATATCATCAATTACAGCTGTTCTTTTGATGCGCCTTTCATGATATTTGCAAATGCCTGCCATCTCTTTCATAGATATATGTGTTTGTTCAGTGAGGCAGGATGTCTCTGTCTATTACAGGATGAACCTCATCCCTTTTTTTTTGGCTTATTCAACATGTTAAACAATGTTTATCATTAATACTACTGTCAGAGGGTCTCAACTGTCTTGGAATCAGGTATGTACATACCAAAGTTGGGGTCAGCAGCCTTGAGAGCAGATATACTTCCTTCAAATCCTCCCACTGTTTCATCAGTCTTCCATTTCACATACTAAAAGCAGAGCGAAAATAAAACACTATTAATATGCATGTTATTTTTATCTTTTACAAAGTCTGCAGATAACAACAAAGAGTGTGAATAACATACCTGAGTGAGGACGGCGTCATACAGTTTGCATGCCTCATTGCTGCTGGTGGACAGAGGAAGACCCTCTGCCCTCCAAGCCTGCAGGGATAGAGGTGTGAGGAATAAATTATACATATGATTTATTTTTTCAAGTTTGATATTCATGCATTCATATCACTACAGAGCACTCACTCTCACTGGACTTCATTAAAAACATTCTTTGAAAATTTCTGCACAACTGCACACATTATTACACACTTTAACATGATCTCTCTGTTTGAAGGCTTTCTTCTTTTTTGAATATAAGTTTTCTTGATGATTCTTGTTTCTGCCTCTCAGGGCTGACAGGAGCTTATGTAAACTCTCTGCATGAGCCAATAACGTAAATAAGTTCCAGCAGATTACACAATCACGCACAGACATCAACTAAGTCAATATCCTTACAAGTTTGTCAGCTGCAAAAACCAACATCTCATCTGTGACATCAATAATATCTTTATTTTCGATGAACTCCTGGCTGTATCGGTCTACCATAGCCGTATTGGCGTGTAGTTTACTCTAACTTTAACCATCCCTACATTAACAGAGTTTGAAAAACACCGAATTCACACCAATCGCGAAAGCAAAAGTTTTCTTCTTTCTCGTCTAAGTCAAATTTTGAAAAATTTCAATATGACAAAACACTCACCTCGCAATCTCTGTAACTTGCAGCATTCATTTTCCACCTCTGCAAACTTTCACCCACTCAGCAGCTCCGTCAGTTTAAAGGACAAAACCGGAAATCTGTTAGTGCTTTCAAAATAAGAGTACGGCCAATGAGTAATTATATAATCGACTTACCTTTTCAACATTAAACCTTTTCACTTGGATATTTTTCCAATAGGAACATTTTTAGTTTGACTTGCTTCTTGACCAATACAGGCTCCTATAGCATTCTGTACCAGACTGCATGAGTAGAGGAAGAACAGTGAGATAAAAAGCCTCCTATAGGTCTTTGAACACTGAGTCTGTTTCTCTTTTTTCTTTTTAGATACTGTATATGCGCCATATCTGCAATTACATAAAATGTAGTCTGATGCATTATTTTTTTCTGTTTCTTGCTTAATTTTGTAGTATGATAAAATGGAGCAAATTTAAAAAATAACACTGGGTCCAGTCCTTTTTTTATTCCAAAAAAAAAAAAAAAAAAAGGCGAGAGCAAGGGAGTTTCACAGACCGATAAAGGAGCTGCATAATTATCTGTATCATTCAGGGTTCATTTCAGGGAATCGGAGGTCCAGTTTGGCAAGCTTCTAGCAGAACCACACAAAAGAAGACTATCAAATTCTGTCAAGGAATTGGGCTAGAAGTGTTGTGTATTCAAGGATGGGACACACACACATTCGTGATCCAGAAATGAGTGCAGTGATACCTGGATCCATAAATATTCAGAAAAGGTTGTCCACATTCAGAAACAACTCACAGCACACTGGGGAGTGCACTTGGGAGTGGGGTCAGTGAGCAAATATAATCAGCACAACATTTTTTTTTTCAAATATATAACCATTAAGGGTGTGATAAAGACTAAGTGTACAAAAGCCTTCACACTAGAGACACTGAACTTCTCATAGCTATAGGTGTCACATTACCACAAGGATCTGTTCTGCTATGGGCTGTACTGACCTCAAACACCTCCAATTACGATGGCAGGAGGGGTTTCTCATCTCATCAGTCCTGCAACTCCACCTGCCAGGTCGCCTCTGCACACGTCGTGGCTGCACCAGCACAAAGTGACTATTGCCTATTGAGGCGGTTTCTAGCTTCACATTTCACAATGAGCAGAACTGGAGTGACGTTTTCCATTCTGCACGATGTATGTAGCTTGTTCACTTAATGGTTCACACTACAGGTGGCTGAATTTCAGACCTCAATAACTGTAATTTCAGAGCTGGAAAAGTCTGAGGAGCAAAATAGGAGAACGAGCTTAGGCAGAACTACAGGAGAAATAAGTCCAACTTTGTCCGTTTCAGAGTTTGGTGGTTCACTGCAGTGATTTTAAACTCATTCAAAGTGTGAAAACACAAGAATTAAAAGAACAACTGCATTGTTTTATTGCCGCTCTCAGCATACATCCAACACCCTCTATGCATTTCCGCTACATGAAGCATTTACATTACAAGTCATGTGTCAACAAAACAGTTTAAAAATTAGGATTCAATTTCTTTACATATAATACAGTTTGCACACATGTTAATAAATATCAATACAATCATGACAAACTTGTCTCACACCAACTAACACAACAACCCTCAAAATTATGTAACTTTTTTGTATTCACAGCTCATACCAAGTCATAAATATAACCTCTCTTCTCTGCGCTGTAAAACAGTGACCACTTGGAGTTTTACAGTCGTCGCAAAAGGCTGTTTGATTCGACTCCCCGACAGATAAATGTTCCTGTTTGAACACTTTGCCTGTGTTCGGCCCCGTCTCAAATGGCCTGTTGTTTGTCTGGAGGGCCTGCTGTAAAAAAGTATTTGAAAAAAGAAAAAGTAAAAATCTCAGGTTCCAGTGGGGTACACAGATATGACTACCTCAAAAAAACAAATCAGCTCCGAAAACGAACTCAAGAAAAGAGAATGAAAATGAAAAAGGCATCTTGTTCAAGGGTAAAGTGTTAACACTGCCGTTTGCTGATAGGAGTGTGGTGTAGTGTGAAGGTTTCTGTGGTGTTTCCCTCTGATGTCGCAGCATATCTACCAACAGAGACAGTCCTGTGGCACTAATGTGTCATGTGAGCTCCGCTGATCTCCCAATAAAACTGTGAAATCGGCTTTAAAAATTGATAAAATCCCATTTGGGTAAAAACACTTTTCCTCGTTTCTGTTGACCACAGTTAAAAACATCCACCTCCAGTATTGGAACTGGACAAATCATTGTAAACTGTCAGTGTGATATACAGTAAGTGGCATGTCAAGGAGAGTCCCCTCATTATTCAGGCATGTGACATAATCAAGTGTTTTTATATATACGTATATACTTCAGGATGTAGTTTATGTCTTAGCAATAGAAGACAAGGTTAAGTTTCTCTTTTTGCCTGCAGCCTTCATTCTTGACATGCAATGGCTTTTGGGTGCATGGGAGATATGCACAAGTGCAAGAAAATGAGATTCTGGGCACTCTCCTGTGAATGCAAAACAAACAAAAATAAAACTGTTAAAAGCAAACAAAGATAATAAATATATGAAACATGGCCATATTTTCTGTATTCTTAGTGCTTGACTTGCTAAACGCTGCGAGGGAGAAAAGGAGTCTTGTCTTTGCTGTTCATGAGGCTGCAGCTTCAGTATGTCAGTGATAGAAAGGCAGCTTCAGCAGAGGATGTCCTCCTCACAGTCTGACTGAAAAGGAGAAATGAGATTGAGACTGGAGGCATCACTCCAGTGTTAAGACGCACCTCTGTAGCAGTCCTTTTCAGGGGAGAAGAGAGGACCCTCGTCCTCTGGATATGTGACTTGTTCTACACAACTATACACAAAAACACAATTCTTTACAATTCCTTTACATCAGCAGGACTGAACTGCATTCTTCCCTTTAGACAATCGAGAGTGGAACAAGTCTTTTGACATTCTCCCGGACCCCCTCGCCTCTCCCCTCTGGTTTGAGAGGCTGGGATGATAAAGCTGTGAATGTACTCGCCTCTCCACCCACAGAGAGAAAAAGCAAGAAAACTGCAAAAGTGATTAACTTGGACTGCCTTTGAACAGGGGATATGTAAACGTTACAGACTGTTTCAGAGTCAGATAACAGCCATAGTGTTCTTGTGTGTTGAGGGGCATCTTTACACATTCACTGCTGCAGGTGCTCAGCAGATTGCTCTGATTGAAGGTGACCATGAGTCAGTTCATTTCCCAGGACTTCATAAGCAAATGCATCTCTTTGCTTAAGCCCAGTTGAGATTGAAGCCTTTGGAAAGCATTACAGCCTCCAGGTCCTTGTCCTCCTCCTTCTCCCTCAGTCTCTGCTCCTCCAGGAGGGCCACCAGAGCGTCCCGCTGCTCCACTACCTCCAACATCTCGTTCAGGATCTGTTTCTCCTGAGCCAGCTCCTTCTCTGTCTTCAGGTTGTCTGTGAGGGAAACAGGTGATAAAGACATAGATGAGGGTTTCAGAGATGTACTGATTTGGAGCTAGAATAACTGGTCTGACAGCTCATCAGCAGTCCTGCAATCACCTTCCACAGCCATGCGCTCCCTAAGCTCCTGCTGCAAGCGGCTCTGTCGGTCCTCCAGCTCCAGCTCTCTGGCGCTTTAGCACGAAAGAGAAAAAACAATGAGCAAATGATGTTCATTCTATATACATATATCTATATTATAGCTTCGAATTTTCTGAGCTACAACCCCAATTACAAAAAAAGTTGGTATGTTGTTTAAAATGTTGATAAAGACAGAAGGTTTGATGGTTTGCAAATCGTTCTAAGCCTATATCAAATTGAAAACAGTGCAGACAACATATCAAATGTCAAATTTAATTCAAATTAAATGTATTTACAAACCATCAAAGTCCGTTTTATCAACATTTCACACAGTGTGCCAACTTTTTGGCAGTTGAAGTTTTGTTTTCATCTAGGCAAGATTGATCTCTACTTATTAGTAGATCCCATAAAAGATAAATGATCATTCAACTTACTTTTAGTATTTCATAATTAGAGAAACCAGGATGATTTAACGACTCATTAGAATTAAATAGTTTTTCTTTATAGCAGCTGTAAATGTGATTGCATTTTATACCTCAACACTATCATTACAGACTTCATGAGGGCCAACAGGTTAATTTAAGCCACAGTGTTACATAAATTCTAACTGTAAAGGACCAAAGAGCTGCGATAATCTCTTATCAGTGATAATAGTCTGGTTTTGAATTGAAGAGATATTGTATTATCAGGTAATTTTGGGCAGATATTACAGGTTTAATGATGTTTCTTGTGAGGTAAGTACACTGACTCCAGTGATGACTGAGACCCTCATGTTTCTGTTGATTGATTTTCTTCAGTTCAGAGTGAAATATCTACGCAACTGATGCAGATATCAGCGTTCAAGGCGTTGATCTCCCTGACTGTAATGACCCTTGTCATGTCACAAAATCAAATGCAATGTTATTTATATTGAAACCTGAGCATTCATTTTAAACTCATCACCCGAGTCTGAATCGTTTGCCATACCATGGCCGTCTTCTTTAATGTGAGTAATCCATACTGTCATCACTCACTATGTTCTCATTTTCTCTGTTGCATGAAGGCTTGGGTGTAATTTCAATACTTTTCCATCATTTAGAAACAGTCCAATGAAACTAAGTTAGTTGCCCTCAGTTTGGTGGGCTTAGTTGGGTTTTAGCCTTGTGTGCAGTTTTTTGGTATTCACTATTATGCATATAAATCCAACCTTTTCCTAATATTTAATCTGTACTTGTTGTTTTATGATATTGTTTTGTGTCTTTCAGATGTTAAACTAAGTTGCACAAACTGGTATGTTCCTATAACATGGTATCAGCCAAAGCAAATTTCCATTCAAGAACAATAAAGTTCATCTTATCTCAATCCTGACGATGCTCAGACTTGGTGCTTTGCAGGGTTATTAAACAGCACATCTGCTAAATACAGCATGTTACTGCATGTTACGGTTATTATTGAACCGCCTATGCTGTGCAGAAAAACCAGTTTGCTGCAGGTTGCAGAGAAACAGTAAACAAGTTTACCTGTGCTCCTCAGTGTATTTTGATGTATGATATACCTACATCTTCACATGGAGACCCTG